CTTAGTAATTGTGTCACAAATACGAATAGTAATTGGTAACCTGTTCCACAATAGACTGTATCGTACTACAAAGAAATTACAACGCAATGGTTTTTTGTGTTCTGCCGTTAATAGTGAATATGCGTTGTTTCGAAGTCTGAAAGTAGTGTCGTGGTTCATAATTGGGCGGTATTCTAGGAACGAGAGACCATTTATCAGTTTATAGAGAAGTATTAGGTTGTTTGTCAACCGACGGCGCCAAAGAGGTTCTAAGGAAAGATGTTTGTATCTTCCTGTGTATTCGAGGTTATGGCTCCAACCGGACAGTCGCCGGATGAAGCTTATCTGGACATTTTCTACTCTTATCTTGGCCACGATATTCATTTTTGAGAAGATAGGAGAGCAATATTCAAGTGAGGGCCTCACACACATTTTGAAGAGTGTAAGTTTACCCTCAATTGTCAAGAAGTTCTTATTTAGAAACTCAATTATTCGTCTGGATTTAAAGTTGAGGCATGTTTTTCGAATTTCAGGCTTTTGGAGTAACGGGTACTTAGATCATGCGCCGATATAAATGTCTGAACCCTACATTTTTTTAAGTAGAGTGGTATATCATGGTGATGCTTACTAAAGTGCATGATGCCACATTTGTTGTGGTTAAACGGTAGTTGACATGCCTCGCTCCAGGTAGTTAAGGTGTCAAGATCACTCTGAATCCTGGCTACATTTTACTCCAGATCTTCAAGCTTATATCTGTATACTATTTTCAGATCATCAGCATATAAGTATGCTCTTCCAAATTTTATAGTAATACATATATCGTTTATGTACATAAGGAACAAAAGTGGACCTTGTACACTTCCCTCGATAACTTCACTGGTTATTGGTCTTAGTGATGAAAGACAATCGTTGTACTTATTCGGAGATACAGGCAGTTCGAATGATGTCAATTAGTCTAGGCTACGGGATAATATTAAAAATAAGGGTGTAGAAGAGCTCATTAACTTAGTGCATGATCGTGAAGAGTATGTGCCAGCAGCTACAACAGTGAAGAAAGACGTTGAGTTATTATTCAGTGTAATATACAACAACTAAAAAGAACACGTTCACAGTAGCATGTTGTCCTATGAAACCGTCAAATATTTCGTATGTCAGAAATGGGTTTGAAGGTGGTACTTCTGTAATATATTAAGTATGATCAGTCTAAATGGACATAAAATATTTCATGTTATAAATCACCATTAACGTAGTAGATCATCAAGTGAAAAGGTGAAACTCGCTAGAATCATATTTAGAATTCGCCGTTATTTCGGGATTCCGTGTTTTCCGTTATGTTCTGGATAGGTATTACCACTGGTCATTGTGCGAGATGAAATACACAGGTTAGGACATAATAATGATATATTTATAACAAAAAAACAACGTGCTACCTGAGGCATCCTAGTTTATTGGCAAGATCAAAGTATTATATCTATTGCCACACTTACTACAGGAAACCGCTGAGTCGCAATAATGGTAATATACTTCGAGCAAACCTGTTGTAATCCATTTTGAAGGAACGATCAATGAAATGCGATGAGATTCCCAGCACTTTATTGCAAGTAGGCTATGTATTCAGTAGAGTTCTGAGGTTATATTACTAAATCGAGAGCGATTGATGGAACGGTGTATATGGAGGCTCAATTGTAGGGTATTTATGTAATAGAATAGGTTTGTAAATTCACGTTTGTCAGAACAGGTCGATTGAAAGGCGTTTGGTATATTCTGTGATTTTGATGAACTCGTATTTAAGGTGTATCTGGAGTGTGAAGAAGCCCCATAGTTGTTCACTGCTGAAAGGGAACTTAGAAAGAAACGAAAGAGAAAAACATGCAGCAGGGTAATTTGATATATGACCACAGTAACATCCAACTATTCACAGTGGAGAAGGTAAATTAATGGTAAGTCAGCAAATATTTCAGTCCAATAAGAGTCCTACCAAATTAAGATAAAGATGGTTGCGAAAGTGCCCTAGGGACATTTATTACGACTAGTAGCCTTAGATTTCTGGCAGCTTACACAGCAGCGTTCTCACTCCCTCACGTTTTTATTTATATCAGGCCATCAAAAGCATTGCTCCATAAGCTTGATGGCTTCGCGGCTACATGAATGAGAAAGTTCATGCGACGTATTGATGAGATTGCGTCGATAATGTTTCGGCACAATCGGACGATCCATAACCGTAGATGTGTTACGAAGTAAAGTTTCCTCACCTGTTCTCATCTGTCCGATTTGTAGTTTCAGGGTTGTCTATGATAACTCATGCTGCCTGGAAGCTGAGCGAGTTTGAGCAGCTCGATTCCTCAGAAACTGTTCAAGGAAGTTATGATATAAGGCATCTTCTGCTACATCGCTTGCCCCAGAAATACGCTATATATATATATATATATATATATATTCATATACAATGTAAACTGCAAGGATAACATTTCCTTTGACACGAGCTGAAAGAAAAGGTAGGGGTTATGGCCGGTGAAAAAGTCTATTCTCAGCCCTCCGTAGAGGGTTTAAGGTGTCGTGTAGCATGGTGGATTGCTAGCAGTTTCTTGCCAAAAGTACCGTGCCTGGAATCAGTGTCTTGCCAACGTGTTGAAACGAGTGCCTAAGGTTACCTAGTATTGTTTACCCATTGTTGTAAGGTTCCTCCGGTTACTGAGTCAGATGTGTCTATTGCGATACTAGTAGGTGCTTTGGTATCGGAGTGTTCTAGCGTCGCTGACTTGGTGATGAGCTACTTCACTATGGAAAGTGCTTCTGTTGCATTCTCGTCTAGGCTGTTGATTTTCACACTTCCAGGTAGTTGGTCGGTTGAGAATTTTATGGGAGGCGCGCAGCTAGGTATGAACAGTCGGTGGAAATTTACTAGTTCATTGAACGTGCCCGGTTGATCGACTGTGATCGGTTCTAGGTAATCAAGGATGGCCTCCATTTTATTTTCTAAGGGGCGAATATATTGAGCGTCAATAGTATGCCCGAGTGTATCGAATGAGTTGGTTCCGATTGGACATTCCTGCGTGTTTATAATAATCCCGTTTTTACGAGGTGGTTAGAAAACAATATTCACATGCTGGAGATGAGAGTCTTTGTTCAGACTTGCGATTAGACAATTATCAACATAAGCGTGCAGAAATTTGATAACCCTGAACACGTGATCGGTGAAACTCTGAAAAGCTTGAGCATCATTTCTTGGACCAAAAGACATTCGTAGTGTCCGAAAGGAGTGGTGATGGTCGTAGCCATAGAGATTTGGTTGAGCACTTTAAGAAAATCGATTTTCAGAAAGACAATGGTAGCTCTCTAGGCAGTTGTCAAGCCGTGGATGTGCGACAACAGGTAACAATCGAGCATGGCTTCCGTATTAAGTAACCAACAATCACTGGATGGACGCGAACAATTGTTGTTTGATGGTCGGATAACTCTCAAATCTATCATATTGTCAAATTCATTTTTGGCTAGTCGTAGTTTCTGGTTACACATGGTGATTTCCGCTGTCTTTGGCACAGTTCCGAGCATTTACCAAGTACTGGTTAGAGGAATGGATAGACTATATGTTTGGTCACGACTGTATAACCTACAACCGTGAAACGAAAAGTTATTTGAAAATAAATAGTAATAATTATTATTAAAGTGGTACTTCAACATTACTATCTACTAAACTCCGTTTGCTGCAGGCGACCACTAGGCTGTGTTGTAGCAGGTCTGTTCCAGTGATTGGAATTGATACGTCTAACACAACGAAAATCCAGCAAACGGGTTCGCGTTAGCCTACGTTAGGGTAAATATACCTCTTGCCGTAAGTGGCGGCCAGTTTCTGTTCTCCGACTGTAGATTGAAAACTGGATCGTAGGAAGAGTGCCAACTTTCGTGCCAGCGAATCTTCGCTATCGCATCAGTAATGCATAACAGAAGGCGATACTCACAGGCTACAATCGCCACCGAAGCGTGCGGGCAGAAGAGTTTCCCGGAACGTTTGTTATAACAGAATATTCGGGGATAGGGAAACTTCAGTGTTACCTGTGATGAGTCTTTCGAAAATCACAGGAATTTTGTCACCAACACCAATTCGGGTTGTTTGTTTCTCTCAGTCTGGACGAAGTCCTTTTTCGCTATTGGCTTCTTCAGGAAGTCTTAAATCGTCCGTGATCATGTTAAAAGTTACGAATGCGAGTGATCATATTACAGAACTTATTGAGTTATCGGTTCAGTGAGCAAATTGAATGCACTTTGTTTTTAATATAGAAAGAAATCGACAACAATCCGCAATAACTCAAGAGTTAGACCAAGACAAACTGATAGTCAAGACTAGAAGTTGGTGATGCGAGTTTCTGAACGTGTTACTAATGATAAGAGTAGAATATATATAAATATGCAACAATATTGATATCAATATAATAAGCCAGTCAAATAGAGTTGTGTCTGAGCTACAAAGTACGATTTTTGGAGCGTCTAAATTCGGAAGTCATCCATAATTCATTAACTTAACAGATATCTTCTGAATCCCTGAATTATTCACATATTCCAATCCATTGGTAAGATCAATGCATCTGTAAACATCATTGCATGTGGCTGATGCCTTGTATAGAAGAAAGATTTTCAACTATCTTGTCATTTGTGTGGGGATTAATGAAATAGTTATTCAGTCTATGAACATCGGTGTGCAATATAGTATTAACTTTTCATATATACAAGCGGGACTCCGGACAAAACTATTCTATCGATTTGAATTCTCCCTATTTCCATGTGCTCTTAAATAAATTACAACAATGTATTCGTACACAGACTATTAACTTATATGAATTACGAAGGTATAAATATATTAAATGTTAAAGTGAAGGACAATGATTTCGCGAACCATACTACACATTAGTAACAAATGGTTAGTGTTGAATTGTAGAAAAAAAACGTATATTAAATTCAGTAAAGGTCTCTAAAGTTCCATTTTACTTATTCTGAACTTCTTATTCTATGTTGGATAAAATATACTGATGGCCTTGAGTTAGTCAATCAAAATCATAATAACGTTACAGCTTCACATGTTCAGTGTCGGTCGTTAATATAAGGGTAAGGGTTCACAATATTTGGTCCTAAAAGTACTTGAAGTAAAAGATTTCTATCATTTAGTGAAAAAATAAAGTCTTTGATGATGCTTAAGCTAATTTACTAAGCATACATGCTCTTGAAGAAGCCTTAAAGGACAGATTTTGTGTTAAAGTTCGTAAATCAAGTATTATAGCTAGAGCCACAGTAATACAACGCTATGGCGCAAGAAATTTATTCCATCCTCGGTTTTCAAGCATGATCTCTAGAACTTCATTGGCCTGAGGTGTAAACGTGTAACTAAATTAAACAACTATATTTCGCGGGACTTACATGGTACTCTGGTCATTTTTTGACTAGTAAATCTATAGAAGACAGATATATCTCTAGAAACGGCGTTACTTTTGAAGCAGCTGGACACTTTTTACAAAAACAGAGTATACTCACTGAAGGGATATTTAGTTGTCAGTTCAAATAGCAACCGTTCACAGTGTTCGTGTGTAACTATAACCTCTTGGGGGGTGATCTATCTAGTAAATCTAAGGCAAACAGATTAGCGTTCGATAATTTGTTTACGATATTGAGTTCCATCATTTGCCACTGATGACAACTACAAAGTATATGATAATTTACCTCTCTACTACTATCGGTCATTGTTCTGAAACTTCGATTAACCAGTCCATTTAATGTCATTCATCTTTGGGAACCCGTTAAATCATCGTTTCTTCCCGACTTTTATTAGCAAGTTATTGACCCCCGCACACTATTTCGAAGAATATTTGGTTATATAATAGTACTCCAATATTTCAATATTATTAATATAAATACACCGAACTTTAATATCAGTACAAAAAAGCTTCTATCCATTGTCCTTAAGTTTGTTCAGGCTTACAAAAGGCTTACGAAATAACCGTAAACTGGTGGGTAGCGAAAGCGAGAGAAGTGGGATAGGCAGTGGCAGTAGGTAACAGTAGACAACTGTTCAGACTTATCAAGGAAACTAGTATCACAAATCCGACTATTGGCGAGACTTTCTCTGAGAATGATGGGACTATTGTTCACCATCAATCCAGGTGATTATATCAATGGGAGGATCACTTGAGGGAGCAGTTCAACTGGTGTTCAGCCACGCTTGGATTACCCACGATCTCCAATCAACCTGAGTGGCAAGTTGATGTAAATCCGACTCTTAATGGGATTGGAAAGAATCTGAGCAAGATAAGGCGAGAAGGAAAAAGAGAGAGTAATATGTCCTGATAGGTTAACCCGAGAGATTTTTAAGGATAGTGGTTCAGTTTTAGCAGTTAGGTTGACTGAGATCTTAGGTCTAACCTGGGAACTGGACGTTATCTCATGTGACTGGTGTCAATCACTGATTATCTCGGTCTGTAAGGAAGGACAAAAGTCTTCTCGTGACAATCACAGAGGGATCAGTTTAACTAATATAGTGTCTAAGATATTAGCTGCAATAGTACTTTGACGCCCAACCGGAGCTATTGAAGAGTGAACTCGAGAAAATTAGGTTTATTACAGACCTAGACCTGGTTGGGTAGACCAAGTATTTACACCTCGTCAGTTCCTAGAACATAGACACACATTTTGACGTCTGACGATAGTTTAATTTCTTGACCCTGAGGTGAAGTTCGACTCTGTTGATCATGAGGTTCTGTGGCAATGTCTGTGATTGAAAGGTGTAACAAAGAAGTGCATTAACTTTGTACAGACCACCTATCCGAACACTACTGGACAAGTCAGAGCTTATGGCGAACTGTCATCAGAACTGATTACTTCAATTGGTGCTCGTCAAGGTTGTCCACTTTCTCCGTTCTTATTCAACTTTATCATTGACATGGTTTTGGAGATGAAACTTTTAACGTCTGACTTTTCAGGAGTTGGCGTTCTACCAGAAGATTCATTTGTTGACTTAGAATATGTCGATGATATAGTTGTGTTTGGTGAAGACGCTGACAAAATGCAGAGTATTCTGAGCATTCAAAGCAATAATGAAAGCATGTGCAGGATGCGACTTTTTCTCTACAAATGCAAAATGTTGCTTCAGCATTGGCTTGAGCGGGCACCTGAACTGGTGATATGGAGTGAGGCAATCGAGCGCGTTGATTGTTTTACTCGGTTGTGAGTCATGGCCACTAAAAACAGAAGATATGGCGTAGGCGATATATCCGTCTACTAACCAAAGGATGAGTTTACTGTGCAGAAGTTCGCTCTTTCCTACTATGTGGGTGTGAGACATGGCCACTAAGAATAGAGGACATTCGTAGATTACTAGTATTCGATCAAAGGTGTCTTCAAAGCATTGCTCGAATATCCTGAGACAACCGAATAAGCAGTGCTGTGTTGGGGAAAGGGTACTAGGTAAGGATGCCAGGTGAATTGATGAAGTGGTGAAGCTCCATCAGTTGAAGTGGTTGGGACATGTATTACTTATCCCCAACCACCAAGTATCTCGATAGACGATGTTGTCTAATGTAGGCTGGAAGAAAACGAGGCTTGGCCAAACCAAGACACGGCACAAATCCATGAAGTCATTGACAACTGGACTGAGCCTTGGTAATAAGGGTAGACTAACCTGGTTGAGGTACGCGAGACAACTGGAACCGATGGTCAGAGACTTTGGATGACACAGCCCGAAATTGTCCGCAATAGCGCAGATGCATCCATTGTTTGTCTTCTTCCATGACTTTTTTCTCTCATTAAGTTTATTTCATTGGCTTATGTTTTCTCAAATTTTATCCTCGATCCCTAATCTACTCCATTATCGCTAATACCGTTACAACCTCTAATAGACAATCCCATCTCCCTGTGGTGTTGTATGGCAACTTGAATTGACGTACGTACGTACGAAGTTCTGTGTTGTAGCTAACTTACTGACTGTATAGTAGAACAAGTGTTAAATAGAATTGACAATCTATTATACTACTTGTCTGCAACCTATACATAAAAGAGCAGCAATTAGTAGCATGTTCAAATTCGAAAAATCTGATAATACTGTTGTCTGGGAAAGAGGGAAAAGATAAACGGTAATTATAGATCATTATTCTTATGGATATTTACCTGTGTACGATTAGGTTGGAAGAAAACCATAGGTACCCAAACTTGAATGTGACACCGATTTTTGATCTGAACTATGTTTGAGATGAAAACTATTTAGTGGGGATGCTGTTGTCCTATTTGGCACAAGGTCTAATCATTTAAAACTCCAACATGTATTTTGGAGCATGGTTTCAGGAGGCCAGGAATAAAATTTTGTGTACCCAAATCGTTTGCTTTAGTGGCTCAACTTAATTAAGGTATTCGGGCAGGGTTAGTTGTGGAGAAAAGAAAGTCGTAAAGAAGTGGAGGAGGGTTGTGGGTATGAGCAAGTTGATCCTTTACAATTTGTTCGGGAGAAAACTTAAGGTACACAAAGTTGAATGTGACACTGATTTTCGATGTGGACAGTGTTTGTGATGAAAGCTATGTAGTGGGCATCCGCGCGATAACAGATGTCAGTTTTTATTTGTCTGATTGACCTGGCCTCAGTTGTGTCATCTTTCTTTTATCGTAGATTCGTATCTCCGTTCGTGCATACGTTTCCACTGTCTATTGTTAAGTCTTTTTCGTTATCACAACCTCTTTTTTAGTTCATCATGTCATTTTTATCTCTTCGCATTTATGTGATGTGACAACTTGTATTAACTCACATCTTTTCCATGCTCTGTATTCATGAACACTAACTAGGTATCCCGGTCAAACCCAACTCTAAGGTACATCTTTCCCCCATTCTTTTCTCTTTATGATAGTTTAGTTTTAATAGCAGTTAATATTAAGGCTTCCTACTAATGACTGTCACCAGCTTAGACTATAACTCTGACCACGAATCGTCACCTGAAAATCCTTTTTTCGAATAGCACTATTTGTGTGCTGTTACGGGAGTCGTTCGTATAACTAGATAACTCTTGATTCTTGATTGATAACATTTGAAGTTCCAACTTTGCGATTTATATATACTCTTTTAGTATTTGTTTATTGATCAGGTTATTGTAGACTTCTATGCTTTAAATTGTATGCCTAAACATTGTACCTAGTTTTTTTCCTTTAGCACTAAAGGAATTTCTTCCAACTGCATTTTATTACTATTATTTTTAATTGCAGTATAGGGCTACTGATGCTTGAAACTGATTTCTGTATCGATTGACCGAATTGGTGTTTGTCGAGCTTTCAAGCTGAACGCGGACTGAAGCGAACCTTGTAACCTTTTTCCTGTTATTTCAAATATGGATTTGCGAAGACTGGGGATTTTTAATTTATGGAGGAACGTTAATTATGTCTCTGCTCGTTTCTCACAGTTACATAAAGTCAACTTTATTCGACCAACAGTATTAGCAAAGACGAAATATCTTCTTGGATTAAATAGTAAACTCCGATATCCAGATAGAACCCTTCGTATTTCTGGCGAAAATATGTTCATAATCTGTGCTGAATACCCTGTGTTCGAAGATTTTGTACAACATCTGAAACTGCCAGACACATTTCAGACATGGTTTTCACTAACCGTACTACATATATGGATGTGCTACGTGCGTCTTCGCCCAGAAAGAGACGAAGGATATTTCATGAAGAAATGGATGGACAGAGTATTATCACTATTATCCTTAACTAGTTTTTCTTAGGCTCTTTGGGAAGATATGGGACGCAGACTACGTGCATTTAAAATCTTGATGGGAAGTTCTAAACAGATCAGAATTTTTCGAGGACAATACTTTGGCAATATGGTTGCATATGATGAAGCTTTATTATCCTACTCAGACTCACACTTAGCTACTGCGCTGTGGAACAATATATGGTTTTCTTGTCCAACAACTACTTTTCAAGAAATCGAAATATTGATTAAATATGTTAGAAAACAATTAGAGCACTTGGAAAAAATTCCATCAAATGTTTTTCTTGAACATGGTACTCCAACCTTCTTACCGTTAATGGAAGATCATATAGATTTTTCCCTTGCTAAAGAACGTTTGAAATACTGTTTAACTTTTCCTGAGCATTTAAAGTAAATCAATTATTTTAAAATGCTTATTAACACATGTTAATGTTGTTTCTGTACTGTGTTCCGTATTCTTATGTATTCCATCTATGTAAGGACTATCTGTTAAGGTTGCCATATATCCAGCTACATAGTCTTTATTACGATATTAACTTTATGTAAATTAGTTATGTAGTATGACTATAAAGCTTATTGGCATAAACACTTACTGTTGCTGTTTGCTACTATAGAATTGTCTTCTGACATTGCATTAAGCATCAAACACCTGGATTAGAAACCTAAGGGCAAAGAAAATCACTGGCCTCAGTTTTAAACAGTCTAGTATGGTCATAATCCGAACATCAACTGTGGCAATTTCAAATAGGAAATATAACTTTATATCGCTACAAATTGATGCTTGCAAATTATAAACCTAATAAAGTACTGGTAATTCGTTTTTTGTATGATTTTGAAACTACTTTTCCTGTGTACCAATGGTATCGACATCCAATTTTACTGGTGGCGCTGTCAATCAATCAACAGAAACGTAGAACTTCGTACGTACGTACATCAGTTGCCATACCACATTAGCACAGAGATGTAATTGTCAATTCAAATCCAACAGTAGTAGAGGTAGTAAGGGTATTAGCAGTAGTCGGAGAGGTTAGGATTAGATATTATCCAAATATAGCTCGACGAGGCAGTCGGTGGTTAGGCATACGCAACGCATGTCCCAACCACCTCAACTGATGAAGTTTCACTACTTCCTCTATTGACCTGTCGTCCCTAATTAGTACTCGTTTCCTAAGGACAGCATTGCCTACTCGGTTGTCCCAGGATATACGAGCAATGCTTCGAAGACATCTATAATCGAAAACCAGTAATCTACGAAAGTCCTCTACTCTTAACGGCCATGTTTCACAGTCATAAAGTAGGACGGAGCGAACTTCTGCACAGCAGACTCGACCTTTGGTTAGCAAACGGATATCTCGCCAGCACCATAAGTGATGCAGGTTGGCAAAGCCAATCGAGCCTTCTGTGTCCGTGCCGAGATTTCGTCAGTCACCAGGCAATCAGCACTAATGAGGTTCCCGAGATAAGTGAAGAGGTCTAGATGCTCAACTACTTCACTTCCTATCACTAATTCAGGTGCCGACGCAACCCAATCTTGAAGCAACATTTTGCATTTCGAGGGTGAAAACCGTATCCCGAACGTGCTTGCATTGTTGCTTATAGTAGTCAGAAGACTGCATTTTGTCAGCGTCTTCACCGAATAGAACTATATCATCAGCATATTCTGTCAGCAAGCGATTTTCCTGGTAGAAGGGCCACTCCTGAAAAATCTGACGATGATAATGTTAACTCTGAAAGCAAATCTACGACAAAGTTAAACAAGAATGGGGAGAGTGGACAGCCCTGACGGACACCACTTGAAGTAACTAATTCCGATGACAGTTCCCCATAAGCTCTTGCTCGACTAGTGGTGTTCGAGTAGAGAGCCTGTATAAAGTGAATGTACTTCTTTGGTATACCCTTTATTGAAAGACACTGCCACAGAACCTCACGATCCACAGAGTCGAATGCCGCTTTAACTTCGAGAAATACTACTATTGTGGGGCGTCTGGACGTGTCTTTGTTCTGGGATCTGATGTAGTGTGATTATTTAGTCTATACATTCGCGTCCAGGTCTGAAACCAGCCTGGTTTTCTCGAGTCTGCTCTTCACGAGCTCTAATTAGCCGCCTAAGCATAATCGAGGTTAACAATTTAGACACTGATTCCTCTGGAACTGTCACAAGAGGACTTTTGTCCTTTCTTATAGACTGGGACAGTCATGGATTGAGACCAGCCAGATGGTACTACGCCCAGTTCCCAGATTCTACCTAAGATCTCAGTCAATCTAGCTGCTAAAACTGGACCACCATCCTTAAATATCTCAGGGATAAGCCTACCAAGCCCTGCTGCTCTCCCTCGCTTCAGATATACTATCGCCTTTTCAACTTCATAAAGATTCGGAGGGCTTACGTCGACTTGCCATTCAGGATGACTGGAGATCGTGGGTAACCGAAGTGTGGCTGAAAGCCAGTTGAACTGATCCCTGAAGTGTTCTGCCCATAGATCCCGTCTCCTGGATTGAGAATGGATAATAAGACCATCCATTGCCGAAATAGTTTCATTCACATTCGGGTTCCTAATGCCAGCTTCCTTGATGATTCTGAATAGTTGCGTACTGTTGCCTTTTCCATCTCCATTACTTTCGCTACCCGCCAATGTTCTCGATCATCGCGAGAGATTTTTATCAGCCTGCGCCTGAGCTGACTCCGCTCCTCAACGTGCTCAGAGCCAGGTGGGATGAGCTTTCGAGCATCCACTAGTTCGGTAGATGCTACTGAGATCCACGGCTTCTCCCTAACCTTAGGTTTACCTTACTAGAAGAAATCACTGTTTCCACAACCTCTTTGATAACATTCCAAGATGCCTCAGGATGGGCATCAGTTACTACATGGCTGCCTAACTGTTTTTCTAGTTGTTCCTAAAATATATTCTTAGCTTTATTATCATTAAATGGAACCCTAATAGGTTTCCTCGCGGTGTCTTTCCTACGTCCAGTAGGCCTCAAACAAATACGCGCTCGCACTAGGGCATGATCTGAATCTAAACGTGTGCCCCAGAACGAGCGACAGTCCTCTATCAAACCTCTCCATCGGTGACTGGTGGCAATGTGATATAGTCGGGTCCGACGTTGAGACGACTTCGGAGGTCGCCAGGTCAACAGATGCTTTTCCGTGTGCCTAAAGTTAGTGTTTGCTAGGAATAAGCGGCTATCTGAGCATATTTGCCACAGACGGTCGCTGTTGTCTGTTCTCTGAGCCGCGACACCGTAACATCCACCCAGGTGTCTTTCATTTTCACTCAGTGTACTTACTTGAGTGTTAAAGTCACTAGCCATTCTTACTATATCAGAGCGCCTAGCTTTTTGAAGGAGGTCCGAAAGCTTTCTGTAAAACTCATCTTTAATCTCGTCTGAACTGCAGTCAGTGGGGGCATAGGCAGATATGACGAAGAGGCAGCGGCGAGTGTCCCTATCCTTCCGAGTCCTTACTGTCCCGTTTAGTCGGACAGCGCACAATCGACTATCTATTGGGATCCAGTCAAGGAGAGATTGTTCTGCCCTACGACTCAATGCTATACTTATACCAGTGAGGCCCCGGGAAGCAGCATCAGGGCTTACCAGATACACGAAGAGTAAATCCAGTTGCTTCTTTATTTTGACAAGGTGAAATCAGATTAATAATTTTACTAGGATCTTGTATGTGCGTTTCCGAGACGCATCATACATCGATGGCGCGAGATTCTAAAGTCCTAGCTAATGATGCCTGTTGCCCTATTTGACATAATGTACGTACATTAAAAGCTCCAACATGTAGTCTAGAGCGGGGTTTCAGGAGACCAGAAATGACGTTTCGTGAACTCGCATCGTTTGCATTAGCGGTGCAGTGTGATAAAGGAATGTGAGAAGAGTTAGTCGTGGAGATAAGACAGGTACTAGGGGTGTAGGAAGGATTTGATCATGACCGATTTGGTCTCGCGTGCTGTTACGAGTATGAGGGTGGTTATCACTTCCCGGCTGCCCACACCGTTGTAGGGTTTTTCTTGAGGGACTTGAAAAAGAAGGTAGATTAGTGTCGGTCTTAACGACCCGGGTGCGTGACCGCAGAGCCCAAGGGACAACTGCTTGAGGCCGGTCACGCACGGCCTTTTTATGAAAGGTATTTAGAGGATTAGCTCCGTTCTTAAAGGCCCTTAGTGGGCACCCTTACCCAGGGAGACGGAAATCCGTGAGTTAGGGGAGGTGTGACATTTTTAGGGCCGACCTTTTCTAACCCTTCCTTCCTTGTGAGAAGGCAGCATCGCTGCAGATGCTGGTTGTCCGAGGGAAACACCTTACTGCTGTCACACCCCTCTGCAGTCAGCAGTACGACTTCGCCCTCAGACCTTGGGTAGCTGCTTTTAGTCTCATCATTCACCAATCGACCTGTCTGGCATGGTAGGACCTGCAGGGACATATGTTCCAGCCAGTGTTCTCTCAAATCCTAATCTTCTGAGTTCTTCAACACCTCTAGTTTCGACTCTCTAAACTTTTCTCACTGAATCATACTTCTTGAATAGTATCTTCTAATCCTAACCTTTCTGATTACTTCTAATTCCCTTACTACCTCTTCTACTATTGGATTTGAATTGACGATTACTTCTCTGTGCTGATGTGGTATGGCAACATGAACTGATGTACTTATGTACAAAGTTCAACGTTGCATCTGACTGACTGACAGGAACATATGTTCCAGCCAGTATAGCTCGGTTGGGTCATCACGATAGGCATATCCGACCACCACATCAAGGTACCAGCTACGGGCGGGCCACCCAGGAGTCTTCCGGTCTACCCACTTGAGCATTAAAGTCACCAGCCAATATTACTACATCAGAGTGCAAAGCCTTTTGGAGAAAGTTGGAAAACTTTCCGTAAAACTCATCTTTTACCTCAACTGAGCTGCAGTCAGTGATAGCGCAGGCATAGACAACAAGGAGGCATAGCGAGTGTTCCTATCTTCTGGAGTCCTTACTGTTCCGTTTGGTCGGAAAGCACATAAGCGACTAATTCTCTATCTGAACTAAATGCTATACACACGCTTGTGAGGCTACAGTAGGCATCAGTGGAGCTTTCGAATACACGAACTGTAAATCGGAACGGTATTTCATTTCGACAAAGTGAGGTCAAGTGTTTGCGAGTCACCGAAATGTGAGTCTGGCTGCAAAAAGTATGATTTACAGCCTATTACTAAGAGCACTCTTGATCTATGCTTGCGAAACTTGACCTCACACAAGACAATATATCTGTGTGTGAGTTAAGATATACTGCCCTGGCGCCCAAACCGTACTAGGTGGTTTTCTTAGGGACAGTGAAGGAACATTAGGAAATAGTCTGATGATAGCTGGTAACAAAAAACAGGTACACACATGTTTCCTCAGGATCATGGAACCCGTGTACACAAATCATTTGGTCGGTCTTTCGTATCCACCAACGCGATTTAAGCACTGGACATTCATTTTACGTTCTCTCAATTTTGTAAACAATACTCCCGCTACAAGAAGTGAGTGGGAGTTCTGTGGCAGTGACTATATGAGAGAGAACTTTCTTTATTACCGGTTGTGCCAAAGCATTTAAGTTAGTATCCGGTTGATCGTGCATTACTGTGGCTTCTAACATTGAACGAAAGTTCTTGTGTAAAAGAATTCATACGAACTAGTTTCAAGCCCGAAAACACTTCAAAACATTAGAACGCGGACGTCATATATCAGTTAAGTTAGTCCCATGTTATGATGTGGTTAATCATAAAGTTGTGATTTTCTGATAAGATTCGTCATAAAACTTCTTTCTACTGTTTACAATTATGCCAATCTCATTTAGTATAGTATAGTACATGCAGTTTCAGTTTCTTCTGTTGATTAACATTTAACCAACAGAACTAAATAAGACTAATTTCTGAATAAGTTAGCTTTGATATCATTAAGGAAGGATATTACATAAGGCGTAATCAATCGTACACTACATCAAAAATACGCTAAAATAATTTTTGTATGTACAGTTAATTTATAAGGAAATGTAAATATATTATAGAATGTATACTTGTTTAACTTATTCAAAGTTATTATAGATCATTTTAAAATAGTTTCACGATCAAATGTGACATAGAATATAAAGATGAATATTGCCATAAAATCACTGGTGTATGCTCCGTGGAAGGCGGAAAATAATCATTTCAAATAAATCACATAAAATATCAATTGTATTGTTTGAAATTTATGTACGTGGATTTGATGAAAAAGCTTTGATATCCCACACCTAGAAGTAGAAAAAGTAGTTAGTTAGTTAGTCAGTAATCAAGTTACCGAAAAATCTATATCATACATACACAAAAGTTGCAATAGCTTATCATATTGTGATTTTGCGGACACACGAAAACACTTAAAACTATTATATAGTTCAAAAGTGTTGCAAAGTATATTTCTCAAAAAAAAACAACTTAGTTATTCATCATTTCACATATACTCTTAGATTTCGAAAATGACCTGTGTTTGTATTAATAAGAATGTTATTTTTTTCAATGATAAGAATTCGTTACATTTAGGGTAAGTGCGCATTTACATCGCAGAATACATTTCTTTAAGCTTAGAATTGTCTACATTCAACCAAAATAACACTGACTAAAAGGTGGTTATACATTAGAATTAATCATTTTTGGCAAGTCGAACAATAACCACAATTTTACATCAATCATTATGAGTGAGAGTTGTCAGTCAGTAAATACATTCAATGATTATTTTGCAATATCATTGTATTTGATTAAAAAGTAAAACTGATTAATTGATGTATAATTTATATGCTCTATATAGATTTTCAGGTAGGATTTATACACAAACAATTTGGAAGATAAGCAGTGTTACATAGTCGAACAAGCTTATTTTGTCATGCTTTGAGGTAAAATAAGCGTACAAACTGTCTATTGAACCCAAAGTGGAAAGCAAACAGTATGCCATATTTATTTAGGCTTAACTCTGTTAGAGTAAATTTAACGTTAGAAATTCAATATGTAAGAAATATTCAATTACTCTCTAACGAAATTCATGTTTGTTGGAGATATTAAGAAATCCAAGTACCTGTCTATTGAGATAATCAAGGTGAACAGTACCATATTTTACCTCATTAGTGAAACACTCTTTATAGAGTTTGAAACGAAGTTGTACGGCTATTCAGTTCCACATGAACATAGAATTTAATTAGCTTACCAAAAGGCAAAATAGAATGCTTTAATGGCTAAAATCGTAAATATTGGGAAAAAATTTATCGTTGCTTACAAAAGTATAACCCAACTTCAGCTAGTCATTAGTGCACTGAAATCCATAGAATGCTATTGCTGCCTCAAATCGATTTAGTATTTTATTAATGAAGCGTAGAATGTTTTGTTAAATGTCTCAACATAATTAACAAGTTGATACACATGATTTATAGAAAACGATCTTATGATTGTTATTATAACTGACTTTTGTTACGGTCATTATTGCTAGAACAATCGTTGTTGGGTTACTGTGAACTTAAGCACGTGAATTATCAAAAGCTTGTTTTTGGGCCATGAAAGAACGTTTAAAAATTTGAGATGTAGATAGAAGACAGATACGTAACAATAGAAAGGCTTGAGATACTTTAAATTTCAAAAAGCTACACAGTTATTGTGGTTACCTTGATAACCCGATCTTTGCCGACCGTTAGAAGTAAATTCAAGGACTCCTCTATACGAACACATGTAACAGGATGGCGAGCATCGAACGAGATTGCCAAACTCCTGCGACTAAAAGATAAGGAAACTAAGTTAGGCCATATATATTAAGCTATGTATGCTGTTTTATCTGATGAAAATGTGCTATAACAAGGAAAAATGGACACCAACAAAAAACAAGCTTTAAGAATATACTTTACTAGTCCTATAAATGAAATGAAATATTATCATATCAACAATATCAGAATTTCATTGATTATTATTGGCAATCTAATAAATTTATCAAACAAAAGCTCATGAGTAGACCTAAAAAAATATGTTGCATTTTGATCACACAAACTTTGTATTAGGCATTTTAGAAGAAATGGCCATACTTCGTAACCCAAGTGACCTGAACATATCTGGTTCTGGAAAATACGACGTACACTGGTTGGTGGTTGAATATGGCGACTAGCTAGACAAATTAGTATTGTCGAGAGGCTGATTAAATGGAAAAGCACTGATTCTAAATATTAATTATCCACACAATGAAATGACCCCTACAGGTAATTAAATTTGACCCAATGAACAAAAATAGACGACTAATATTTGTCAGTGCTATATGTACTACTTTAAATTCCGCGATACACTAGGAGGACTGAAATCCGAATATGTGACTGAATTGATGGATTCGAAGTACTAGTATTAAAACCAGTTATCACTACTATTTACAAGTACACAATTTTATTTGAATAAAAATGGATCAATTTTGAAATCACTTACTCTGCATCAGTTATAAGAGGAAAGCATTGACTACAAATACGAACATCTTTTTCAAAGCCCATGCATGGTAGATTAGAACGATAAGGTGAACACTTGTCACAAACAGCGTGACCACATCGACGACAGTGATGCTAAAGGTAGTGAAGTCGAAATGTTAATCATAATTAAACACAAATAGAAAATATACTGTATTACAGAGTTTGGAGAGAAAATAAACGCAATCATGAGGAAAAGAATGAACAAATCCGTGACACCTAATGATCTCATTCAAAATTTATATTTTTTATACAATTAAAAACATTAGAGGCTTTCTGGAGTACTGTCGCATCTGAGTTTCATTCCATATTGGAAACGCTTTGCTGATTCTAACTTAGGAAGTACGATTTTATTGGAGACAGTTTTAACAGAATATCAGCAATGTAAATTATTGGGAATGTACTGCTTGCATATCGTAGAAAACTACTACAAGATAATAAATACATATAACTTTATAAAGCGTTACCACGAAGTGCAGTGATTGTATCACTCGAATATATATGCTAGCAAATGTGGGTCGAAAACACGGGAAGCATCTCAGTCATGATAAAGCAAACTAAAACTTTACACTTATTGGCCTAAACGTCGTAGATAACTGCAAGCATCTAGGAGAAATCATGGCTCGGAATGGACGTATATTTAGATATTTTGTCCGAAACACAAGTCAGTGGGATAGTTGTACCCAATAGTACATGACTAGCCGTTAGGTTTCCACTTAAAATGTTTACTCATCTGTCATGTCCCCAACAATAACGTAATGCTTTAGTACAGGAGTATCGCTTAACACCACTTTACGAGTAAGAAGAACTTGACCCTAACAAACAATGACACTTAGATTCTTGACAATTATAAAACTATTGAGCTAAATCTTTACTTAAAACCATATCAACCTCCATAATCGATTACCAGTAACAGTAATCTGAAATGTAGCCAATAGAAACAAGGGAACATGTTTGTCTTTAAAGCACACCTTAATTTAAGGTTTAATGCTAACTAAGAAATGACTACCAACATGATACAGAAAAATTTAAGGAGCAGAGATTTTTAATAACAGACACTGTCTTACACTAGAAGTACAAATAACCCTGAATTCAGCAAAACAATGGATTCCTTTGTTTTAAACTGTTTTTGTTTATTTAGAATACCATTCTTTTAGGTAACGACCAATGTTCTAACAGATTACCTGAAGAGTTACAAACGAATAAGTAGGTGAGAACCGGTTTTCCTCGTATTCTTTAGCTTCTCTCGTAAACTATAATCATTCTACAATGAGTAGCATGGTGTTTATGATTTGATAAACATTCGTTAAATTTAAAGAATTGCATGGCATCACTGAACGTGTGTTCAACGAAATTTTGCACAAAAGATGAATACCTGACGCACACCAACCGACATATTGTTCCACATTTTACGAACATTCCAGAAGAATGGTCCGCTACAGACATGACAGATATCTGATTCTGACCAATTAGGACTTTCAATGCGTGAAGGGTCCATAAACCAGAAAATCAGATATCCATCAAGACCACCTGAAATAAGTAGTCCTTTATACTTATTGTCCTTGACATTTGTAGGAGAAGCACCCATACTCCACCAACATATTGACGACACTTCTTTGGAATGCCCCTTAATGCACAAGTAATATAATATAAATAATTACCATTGATATAAAATTAGATTATTTACAATTTAGAAACAAAGATATTCTTGATTATTCAATCAGTTTGACGTTGAGATGAATTCTTAATAAAAAAACTCGCCCGTAAAACGGTGTGACCAAAAGGATAGGACTTATGAAAAACGGATAACATCAATGAAAATTATCTCAATACTAAGAACCCACTTGATGCTAATGAATAAGATGTGAATAAAACACCTGTTGAATTTAAATAATTCAAACAGTCGACACCTTGGGAGTGGTAAAAACTAGCATCATTGTTATGAATTTTCACCTACGTCCTTCCATGTCTAAAATGTGTTGAACAACTTCGGGAATCCTTAACAATAAAGTGGATTATATACATACATACACCAGAGATTAGTCAGGACATTTTGAAAACTAAACCCAATAAACGTAGAATGGTGCACTCACTTGCAACTCATAAGACGAACCTTTAGCCCCACCAATATCCCAGAAGATAACAGAACGATCGGAACTGCAAGAAAATAGACGAGAATTTGTACTATCCCAAGCCAGAAAGGATACTGACTGCTCATGACCTCGGAGTTCACGAATTACACGACACAGTACTTGGCCGTTGACTTGATTAATGCTCAGTAAAGTAATGCGACCGCTGCTATCACCAACAAACACGTAGTGTGAGCCGACATCATATCTGCATTGAAGAAAACGTAAATCCTATGATTAATAGAGTGAATCCGTCCGACAATTGCAACTATAGCGGTTACGAAACTGTGAAACGAATGTACGAACAGGTTCGAGTGGAGGAAGGTATGAAATAAGATAATAATTAAAGCCTACGCAATGATCGTGAAAAGTGATGGGTAGCGAAAGCCAGAGCGATGGAAAAGGCAGCAGCAATAGACAACAACAGACGGTTGTTCCGACATACCGAGGAAACCGGTATTAGGAATCCGACTGTAAGTGAGACTATCTCGCAAAAGGATGGGACTACTATTTGTTCTCAATCCAGGAGATTGGATCGATGGGCAGAATACTTCAGGGATCAGTTCAACTGGCTTTCAGCCACACTTCGGTTACCCACGATCTCCAGTCATCCTGAATGGAAGTCGACGTAAGCCCTCCGAATCTTTATGAAGTTGAAAAAGCGATAGTATATCTGAAGCGAGGGAGAGCAGCAGGGCTTGATAGGCTTATCCATGAGATATTTAAGGATGGTAGTCCAGTTTTAGCAGCTAGATTGACTGAGATCTTAGGTAGAATCTGGGAACTGGGCGCAGTACCATCTAGCTGGTCTCTATCCCTGATTGTCCCAGTCTATAAGAAAGGACAAAAGTCCTCCTAAGACAATCCCAGAGGAATCAGTCTAACTAATATAGTGTCTAAATTGTTAACCTCGATTATGCTTAGACGCCTAATTAGAGCTCGTGAAGAGCAGACTAGAGAAAACCAGGCTGGTTTCAGACCTGGATGCGGATGTATAGACTAAGTAATCACACTACATCAGATCCCAGAACAAAGACACGTCCAGACGCCCCACAATAGTAGTATTTCTCGAAGTTAAAGCGGCATTCGACTCTGTTGATCGTGAGGTTCTGTGGCAGTGTCTGTCATTAAAGGGTATACCAAAGAAGTACATTCACCTTATACAGGCTCTCTACTCGAACACCACTAGTCGAGTAAGAGCTTATGGCGAACTGTCATCGGAGTTAGTTACTTCAAGTGGTGTCCGTCAGGGCTGTCCACTCTCCCCATTCTTGTTTAACTTTGTCGTAGATTTGCTTTCAGAGTTAACATTATCATCGTCAGATTTTTCAGGAGTGGCCCTTCTACCAGGAAAATCGCTTGCTGACAGAATATGCTGATGATATAGTTCTATTCGGTGAAGACGCTAACAAAATGCAGTCTTCTGACTACCCTAAGCGACAATCCAAACATGTTCGGGATGCGGTTCTCACCCTCAAAATGCAAAATGTTGCTTCAAGATTGGGCTGCGTCGGCACCTGAACTAGTGATAGGGAGTGAAGTAGTTGAGCGTCTAGACCGCTTCACTTATCTCAGCAGTCTCATTAGTGCTGATTGCCTGGTGACTGACGAAATCTCAGCACGGATACAGAAAGCTCGACTGGCTCTTGCCAACTTGCGTCACTTATGGTGCTGGCGAGATATCCGTTTGCTAACCAAGGTGGAGTCTGCTGTGCAGAAGTTCGCTCCGTCCTACTTTATGACTGTGAAACATGGCCGTTAGAAGTAGAGGATATACGTAGGTTGCTTGTCTTCGATCATAGGTGTCTTCGAAACATTGCTCGTATATCCTGGGACAACCGAGTAAGCAGTGCTGTTGTTAGAAAGCGAGTACTAGGTAAGGATGGCAGATCGATTGATGAAGTAATGAAACTCCATTAGTAGAGGTGGTTGGGACATCTGTGACGAATGCGCAGCCACCGACTGCCTCGACGAACTATGTTTTGTGGTGTAGCGGTAGGTTGGGGCGGCCAGACCAAAACATGACTGAAATCCATGAAATCACTAACAGGTGGACTGAGTCATGTTGCTAAATGTAGGCTACTTGGGTGGGGTCCGCGAGACGACAGTCACCAATGGTTAGAGACCTTGAACGACATGATTCAAAACCGTTTGCAATGGCGTAGGTGCATCCACTCTTTGTGTTCTCTCAAATTTTAACCTTTTGAATTCCTCTTCATCTCTATCTTTCTCTTTCTAAACTTATCTCACTGAATTTTACTTCGCGAATCATATCTTCGAACCCTACTCTTCTCCATTACTGCTAATACTTCTACTATCGCCACCATTGTTGGATTTGAACTGACAGTTGCGTCTCTGTGCTAATGCGGTATGGCAACCTGAACTGATGTACGTACGTACGAAGTTCTACGTTGTAACTGGTTGACCGATTCTTACAGGACCACAGACACGTTTGTGTACTGCATGTAATGAGTGATTATTTATTACGAAAAATATCGTAAAGATGTGTTGGAACTACGTGAATAGTGACCGGACTGACAGTCCAACTTAATTACTACTAATTTGGTTTTTATTAGTTGTAACTTGGAACCACATATCTCCAACTATCGCTAGACTTTATAATAATAACTGCAAGTGGGAAGTATTGCTATCTAATACTTAAAATTTTGGGAATTTACAAGCCCCGAATACATCTACAAGAAATGAAAACAATACCAATGAGAACGAATTTTAAATTGTTTAGTGTGGTTCTGGTTATAGACTAACAACATTTTAAATACGATTTTTGTTTAGTGACAAGTACCCAACTCATAAATTTTGATGGTAACTGATGTATAATCGATATACAGAGGTGACTTTAAAATGATTCTAATAAGTTGATAACTAACAAACTTTAATTAGTAAGCTTTCTAACTTGATTGTAAGGAGAGATAGAAGAGGATAGTTTGATTTGCTGTAGTGATGAGGTTTTGAAATACTGGTTGCGCTTTAAGACATTATAGTGAAATCTTAATGAAAATCACGAATTGGGTTTCGGCGTGACAGTAAGGGGATTGAATAAATGATAGTAATTGCTAATTTACATTAAGTAGGATACGGAGTTATGAACCTCTAGAAATTAGTAAAGGCAATTGCAGTTTATGAATGACCAAAAGTAGTAACTAAATTCAACGATTTACATTTATGATACATAAGAAATCTAGTTATGCATAAAATGCTATAAAAACCAGCTCAAAATACTTAACTTTTCGGGGAGTTCAGCATTTTGTACGTGATTTCATTTGAAGACACTTTGATAGTCACAATCTATAACAGTTAGTAGTAACCACAGAGCGTATTCCGAGTTTTATGTAGCAGAACCAGAATATTGGGCTTTGACATCACCAAACAATAAACACGAATTTTCATTATGCGACTGTCTTTAGTCTTAACTTCTGTAGCACCTCACATATATCTTGTACTTTTACCATTGTTGGGTTGCATGCGTATGTACGCTAAGGCACTACTTGCCACCTACACATATAGTTATTTGACTAGCCTTATCGATTAACAGTTTGAATAATTCGATTTCAATATCGACTATACGTATTTGAACTAAATCCGATATTTGTATCGATCACTAAATATTTTCAATAGTAAATAAATTGTGGCAACGAATCGTGTTCTCTAGTAGAGATCATCAAGATGGAGATAAACGGAATTTAGAAGATAAAGAGAGTTCAACACCACGCTTTCAATGTTACTTAAACTACGATTTTTCCAACACAAAGGAATATATGAATATACATTTCGTGACGAACGTTCTACAAATCGCGAAAATATTTGTCACTCAAACCCCAGGAAGCAAACAAACCCTTATAACCAAAACTCACTTACTCCAAACACGTGGCCGGGTGTTCCAAATTATGTTCACTTATTCGTCTTCCGCTATTGGTCGAATACCATGCGACAGTTTGATCTTTTGAAGCAGATACAATCCAGCCCATATCTGGTACGCAGACAATTCCATTCGTCCTAGAAGTGTGAGACAGATAGTCCCGCTTGTGCTCAATATGATTTAAATCTTCAGAGACGTCATATTCTACAACCGTCCCATTCTCCAAACCAACGAATAATCTGTGTGATTCAGCACAATACGTTATACATGTGACGGGACCTAGCAAGTAAACTTTAGTGAAACGGAACGTACTGGGTAATAACTCGATGACCGTCGGCCAGAACTTTGTAGTGTCCCTTCTGACCCAAATCCTCAAGGTACTAAAAGTCTAATCTATAGAACAGGCGACCTACCGATCCTCTGAACCTGTTACAATAGAATCTCTGCCAGGGATAAAGATAGCATCATTCACACAACAAGAGAGTCCGTCAATCTTAAATACTAGTTCTGGTTTCATGACCTGGCGGGAGGGGTCCTGAATAACAGCTGCCATCTGTCAGGTAGCACACTGGTCAAAAAGCCACGTCCCTGTAGCACGTCCAATATCCAATATCCAATATCTTTTTCACGAGCTAGTGTAAACCAATTTGATTTCTTCGCGCTCGATTCTTGTTCTTTCGGTACGGTTCCAGGTGTTCGGTAATGTCCAATGGATGGAGGTCTAGCCACTCGACTGTCTAATTCTAGTCAGTTGGCAGTTGGTTGTGAGTTTGTATGTCTCGGGATTTGAATGAAACGTTTGTTTCAGGGCAGTAGGGTTTCTGGATACTAGCAGCCGTCACTTTACCTAACCGGAGATCAGTTAGTTGCAATGTGGAGAGTAATAAGGGTAATAAGGGTAAATTAAAATGATAATATGAGTAAAATTTCAGAACTGAGTAATATATAGATGAATTTAGTTTATCAATATGTTTTTCACGAGCTAGTATAAACCAATTGATTTCTTTGCGCTCGATTCTTGTTCTTTCGGTACGGTCCCAGGCGTTTAGTAGTGTCCAATGGATGGGGGTCTAGCCACTCGATTTTCTAATTCCTGTCAGTTCGCAGTGGGTTTGTGAGTTCGTATGTCCCGTGATTCGGTCTAATCAGGATTTCCAACTGTCCCATGCTATGTGATGATTGGGTGCGCACGATCTGCCTTTACGAAACCCGTCTGGAGCTACATGGAAGATCATATTCTTATGCATGTACTCGCTCATCTGTTCGTTCTCCATCCCTTCCATTACCTTTGATAGTACTAGTAGTAATGCGACTGGTCTGTAAAAGGCTGGTCCTTCCTATATCCGCCTGCTAAGATTTGTAAAAGAGTAGCTTGTTTCCATTCAGATGGGATTCGGTGTGACTCCGGTGAATGTCTTTACAGATCACATATCAGTGAACCTAGGGCTTCGAAATACTGCTTCAAGAATATTTGGTCGATATTTTCATGTCCCGGCGAATTTCCTGGGCCCGATAGTTTTGATTTTCCTGGTACTACGTCAAGAGTAAGTTGAATATTACCAAAGCCGTTAGCTAACACTGAGTGTGAGTAGTACCCTGAACATACCTGATTTTACTGATCGGTGAAGTTGTTGCTGAATATTTCAGCCATATCTAGGTTCGTGAGATCTTCCCTATTCGAACCTTTGAGAGAACACGAACCCTGATTCACAGGTTTTCTTTCGTCATAAACCTAAATAGATGCTTAGGATTCGCCTGTATTTTGACAGCCAGCTTCATCTGAAAGCGTTTCCTTTCACTTTGAACTTTGGTATTGCATCTGTTTCTCAATGCCAGGTAACAACTACGGTCGGAAACCTTCAAGGAGACCTTCCACTTATGCCAGACTCTCCTTTTCACCTGAGGCAAGCAGCGTTCAGTGCAGCGCCCAACCCATGTTCTTCAGTTTTCGGGTTTGTAGTGTGACTGAGGCACATTGTCTAGGACAGCATTCTGGATGATGTCTCTCACTGTTTACCTGTGATCATTTACTGCCAGCCTCCATCACTCCCGCTTCCATAAGGCATGTAAAAGGTTCTCTCATGCGCGTGTATTTCACCCAGTGTAGTAAAGATAAGGCTCGTCTTCGTCCTCTGTGTGTTTCGCTTATGACCATGTTGAACGAGACTGTGCCATGGTCAATAGTTCCTACTGGTGTATGTTCGTTAACATCGTCGACCAGGAGCTGATTATTTGTGAACAAATAATCCCAGTTTGAGGATTTTCCCACCCTAGAAATGCAAATTTCCATCTTTGTATGAAGGCATAGGCTTTGTGACAGTTATCGCTACTGTTGCACATCATGCAGGCTGGTTTCATCCAAGCTACCAACATCCACTTCGGGCACGCAGTGAACTACCATACTGATCTGCTTTTGGGTGCCTGGTGGTATCCTGGCAGTCGCTCGTCCTGACCATGGTTTATCATGCCTGATGCGTATCAGGGAGGGGAGAAACATTTAACCAATGGTCTCTGGGATAGGAGGGGGGGTGTTCTGTTGTGCCAAGTCTAGTGTTACCCTCATTGAAGGGAGTTTCCCTTTCGAGACGTTCTGGCCTTTGAAAAGGCGGCAATTTTTGCCGAGGTATCATACATTCTGAGGATTGCGCAGTACTTATCCCATTGTTCTTTATCAAAGGTGGCCCTACCTTCAAGTAAGCTACTTTCCGACACTGGAACGTTAAATTAAATGAGTGAATTTATTCTAATGTCACTGTCACTGATTAGCAGCCTTTTGTGAGTTGAGGTGTTGCCATTCGTTTTTTCACATTCACCTACTGTTCCATAGTGGTAACAGATATTGAGGGGGGGGGATCACAACAACCGGCAGTTCTGTTGGTGTGTTGGTTTGGGTTCTGGCTGCTTTGGTCTCCCGTTTCATCGGTTTATCCGTTGTTATTTTTGAGCTGACTTTGGGTTGGGTCTGTGGCTTTGCCAATGTATCAGTTACTGTTCACTGTGGGAAGATATATCAAAACCATGGACAGGAGTGTCTCAGCATGAACCCATAGTACTCTCTAGGCACCAATGTGTCGCAGTGACAATGGACCCGTTTGCTACAGAAATTGCATTCAAAAGCAGAGTCACTGATCTTGATTGGCACTGAGCAGGCTGTACAGTCATTATTGTGAGATTTATGGACGACTGTGTCGACTGGACCTTAAGATGCCTTTTACTCCTATTCTTATTTCGCCTATTGGTCTTTTTCGTGGTAGGAATCTGAAAGTATCACCTTGGTTTCTATATTGGAGACCCAGCGGAAGTGTTTGGGTCAAGTGGTCCGAATTATGAACAGTATGAATTTTTTCACAACCCTTTCGCTCAAGATTGGGATTTTCAACCCATTACTGACCCCGTGGTTCATACCTCTACAGCTGACAGTTTGGTCGCTATCTAAGACCCATGTATACATAACCTTCGAGATAAAGTATCTACGGTCAAACTTGAGAAGTATAGAACCAAAACTCGAGAAAACTCCTTCCTCACCAAGTCGGGACTTATATGGAATAGGCTTCTCTCAAAAATACGTATGGCAAGTGGGTTACATGAGTTTGTACAACTTTTTAATGAAGCTCTCAGTTGCACTGACTCTTCTGCAAGCGTAAATCCACTGACTCTTCTGCAAGCGTAAACTCACTAGCACCCTGCTCCCATATTTTTACTTTTCTAGTTGAATATAAATCCCTTTATTTTTTATCTGAAGTAGACAGGTTACTCTACTCTTCTATCCACTTGAAACTCTCCACAACTCTTCCTTTTTCATTGCTGTACTCCTTCATTTGTGGGTTATATTCTTATATTCCCATAATTTACTTCAATTTTAGTGGTCAGTATGAAATTCACCTTGACTTACCACTGTATCAACTACTTCAGCATGACAGGTGGAGTAGTGCTTTGGTTATATATATATACACTTGTCACACTGCTGCTTTTTTTTTCTCTCGCTTTTCTCCCTTTTCATAACCGCATCCACGGTGGAAAATCCACGGCACCTCTAGGGAACATTCACCCTACGTACATGCTTTTCTGGATAAAAGCCTGTTTTAATCGCGTCTCGATTGACCTTTCCCGACAAATTCACTATTGATCTCAGCAAACCGCCCAAGAAGCCTGCTGTGCACTTTCCCTATTTGTACTCTCCTACTGAAAATGTTGCTGTATCATACTGTTTCTGTCAGTGACATTGTGTACATATGATATCAGAAACTGACTCTTATACTTAATTTAACTTTTACAGTAAATGTGAAAGCATTTGTAACAATTTGATTTAGCCCGTAAACTAGCATGCCTCTTGTAAATTAGTTATTTGAGAGTAAATATTATTATTGTTTTCCTGGTTGTTTTAGTGTCAGATGTGCTAGCAACCTTATTACTTAGCATGATACCTGAGAGGTTTGGAGAAGAAAAATGAGATAAGTGAGAGAGGAAGACACGCGAAATAGGAATTTCGGAAGGAGAAATTTAGTAGTATGTAAATATAACTACGAAAGAATAGAATCTGAAAGTACCCTTTAATTGCAGCTTTACATTTAACCGTTCTAGTAGGCAACTTCGCGTAGATTCAGTAACTTTTTCACAAGTCATATGTTTGCGAGTGAATTGATGTGTGTATACTGCCAAAGCAACTAGTAAGAGAGCACATGATCGAGATAGACAGACCAACCGCACAATGTTTCTGACTTGGAATGATTTCCTTTTCCAAATTTGTACTCAAATAGTCAAACAGTGAATGGATACAACTTTTATAATTTTGGGAGTGATTAAATTTCCCAGTCTGGTGTCCGAAATTGGATTGTTCCCTGCCAATGCAGGGGAGCCAAGGAGGCCATGTCAATATCAAATAACTGGTAAAATCTGATTGATTTCTTCCAACTCTCTGCTTGTGGTCTCGACACGGTTTCAGATAATGATATTCAATGGATTGTGATCTAGTCACTTGACTGTACTGGTTCTAGTCAGTTGGTAGTTACTTATGAATTTGTATGTTCCGTGGTTTGAATGTGTATGTTTTTTCTGGACTATGGGAATTCTAGATACCAGCAGCTATCACATTACCAGGTCGAAGATCAGTTAGTTGCATAGTGGAGAATGGTTGAGAGAAAATCCCAATGCTAATTACGAGAAAATTTCAGGACTAAGCGAACAAACGGATAATTAAGTAAATAAATTAATGCTGAAGATTGTGCGAGAGGACCGAACTGTAAGCGAGGGTAAGGAAACAGAGATAATAAGTGATATAGATGGAGTTAGTGATCCGAAGAAATGTTAATAACAACGGCTTGCAAGTCCTAAGACATGCATCAGACCTAGCTGGTGCAAGAGGGATATGATAATCCGTATGTGAGTAGGAGTTTGTCAAGTCCCCTCTCAAAGCTATCCACTAAGGGAGTTGTCGTCACTTCGGCTGAGAGAGCATTTCGAGTTACAGCAGCTCTTAAAGTGTTCACGAACCTGGGTGTTCGCTATATGATGCGCATTTTTTCGGGGATTACCTCGAGGGGCGTGTCGGTGATGCTTCGATAAGATGCTCATACTGGACTATTCGGAATACTTAATATGTTGTATGCCAATGTCATATCACCTCTGATTCTCCTACAGATGAGCAGGAATAAT